AGAAAAATATCAACACAGTCAACTACCTCGTAAGCACCGCTGAGCCAGCGGCTTGCTGCGGCGAGCGAGGATTGGGATTCACGGGTGACTTTGGAGCATTCATGGACATTTCCCCGACGCAGATTTCTCGCAAACTAAAAGATGTTTGAAACAACTGCAGCGCACATCTGAAAGCACAACACTACTCGATTTCTAGAAGTCAACTCAACTCTCGAAAAAAGACGCGATCAAAAAGCTCAGCACAATTTAGAAACTAGAAGTCTTGTGCATTCAAAAGCTGCCTTCACTTTCTGAAATGGTTATCAATGAAGAAAGTTATAGTCCTTTGAATAGGGGGTACATTTGACGATTTTTCCAACTAGCGCGCTCTAGGCACAGCGCGCGACGCGATCGCGGGTAGTTAGCGCCGCTATACTGGAGCGCGAGACTGTTCAACTGTGTAGGGGCAGTACCTCCTTGTTCTACTTTCCGGCCAATGTGGCAAAGGTTAAATGTCTTTAAAGGAAAGAAGGAGAAGCCTAATCTGAGCAGAATTGAATCTAGCATTTGATCAAGGAGCATTTGCGTGGCAGCGGCGCTGCCTCCCTCTCGTACATCTGAAACTAACATTTTTTATAAAACCGGATGTGCGGAGGTACAAAAATAGGGGTCGTACTGGAGTCCTCCTAGATGGGAGGGGAAGGTCGTAAGTCAATTCCTTGACACGGTTTTCACCCTTGTAATGGTGCAATGTTTCCACTTTTATTGAATGGTATGCCCAATGTGATTGAGAGCAATGCGTAGTAAGTATGATAGAGTTTATCTTCTTCTTGGAATTAGCTAATTAATTCAATTTTACCAAAACACATGTTTTCAGTGATGAGCTTGCAGAGTTTTTTTTTCAGTCTTCTCTGATTTCTATCCACCTTTTCCCGCTCTTCAAAACTTCTCGGAACCGAATTATGAGGCTTGTAGAAAACGCTGTACACTTCAGAGCACGCTCCGCCCATTGTGGGCGGCCTCCGCCTACGTCGTGTATGCTGGGAACACCTTGAACATTGCTTCCCTGAATCTATTTTTTCTGCCCTGTAGGCTCTTGTCAAGCCGAGTTATGCATTAAGGTTAGGGTTTAGGGTTATAGGGTTCTTAAGCTTCATTGTTTCACGAGACTTCTTTGTTGTTGATTGAAATGAAACTCTTCCAAAAGGCTTTATTTGACGACGTTTCGGGCCGTAAGCCCTTCTTCAGGTCTATAACATCATCCATACATTACGTTCTTACATAAAAGAGTGAATCATTTACAACATGATATACGAAGTCAACTAACCAATTACAAAAGGGGAAATCCGGGTTGAGGGAAGATTCCGCTGAGTTCGTGAATCGCTGTAAGAATGATGGGATGGGATAGAGATGTGGGAGGAAACGTGAAGGGGGACCAACCTCTCCTGCTACTCACACGGGAAAAATAGAGCAGCCAGATAGAGGGTAATCATGGTAAAGATGTAAGCAGTCGATACTCTTCATTTTACCATCCGTCACGTAGCTCCATCTCAAAAAGTCATTGCACAGCGATGATTTCCATGGTATTTCGGAGTTCTTCCCTATTGTTGATTGGAGGGATTCCTCCTTCGTATTTCAAGCGCCTCTTTTATTTGCCTTTCACTCACATTCTTGTATATCACGCGGACCTTGATTTCTGGTGCACGTTCACGCGTGTGGCGCAAGGAGCGGTGCTTCAAAAAAGGGTTGTCCGGATAGCTGCTTGGATTCCGGAGAGCCCTTAGATGTTCGTCAAGCCTTTTGTAGAGAGGGCGTCCACTTTCTCCAACGTAAAACTCTGAGCATGACGCACACTCTACTTCGTGAACGGTGTTCTTTAACCCTTAGACTACGACTTTTTTAGAATCGAGTTATAAATGTGTTCTGCGTTGCAATTATCCCTCCCAGCAACAGGCAACCAGCTGTAGAAATTTGGCTGATGTACGTTGGGTGTGACCTGGGATTTGATCTAGGGACCATGCGCGCGGTAGCGGCCCGTCTTGTCATAACACCATTTCCGCTCGGATGATTTTTTTGTTCAATAAATTGGCAATTCTACAACCACACATTTTTTACAATATTAAAGTCTTCAATGACCCGAAAACTTTTACAAAAAAAAGTTTGAAAAGGTCAACATTATATGGTCTATGAATGGTACGGAGTAAAACATGATATACACAAGGGCACGTTGCAAGCAGCACACATTATTTTTGTACGAGTTTCTTTCTTTGACATCGCGCAGTATCTACATCGCCGACGCGTTTTTAACTGTAGTGGCATATGGTCCCCATCTGATATAGTGACTTAGTGAGAGACTCAAACCAGCAGCATAAGCATGAAGAGTGTGCGAACCTTGAATTACCTTTTCCGGAGTTGAGCACAGTGACCAGTAACCTGCGCAGGTGTGCTTCACTAGGACAGAAACCGACATTTTCGCGTTTCGCAGCGCGAAACATTTTCCGCTGCAGGAACCTCAGGTCCACCGCTGATCATCAGTGGACCCGAGGTTCCCGCAGCGAACTTATCAGTGGACTCAAGATTCCCGCAGCGAACAATGTTTCGTGCTGCGAAACGCGAAAAAGTCGCTTTCTGTCCTAGTGAACCACACCCACCTGCGGTTGAACTTGCTCTATTAACTTACACAGGACGACTTGCTTTAGCCTCTGACGACTAATTATCATAGTAGGAGTTAGAAAGCTTCTATATGTGCACGATTCAGCTATCGAATGGGTGCTCCG